TCCGTCGTTGTCGTCCGTCGTCCGTCGTCCGTCGTCCGTCGTCGTCCGTCGTCCGTCGTCGTCGTCCGTCGTCGTCGTCGTCGTCGTCGTCGTCGTCGTCGTCGTCGTCGTCGTTCGTCGTCGTCGTCCGTCGTCCGTCGTCCGTCGTCCGTCGTCCGTCGTCCTCGTTCGTCGTCCTCCGTCCGCCGTCCGCCTCTTTCGTCCTCGTTCGTCGTTATCGTCGTCGTTGTCGTCGTCGTCGTCGTCGTCGTCGTCGCCTTCGTAGTCGTTATTGCCGCCGTCGTCGTCGTCGTCGTCGTCGTCGTCGTCGTTGTCGTCGTCGGTGTTGCCGTCGTCGGTACTGTCGTCCCCGTCGTTGTCCTCGTCGTCGTCGTCGTCGTCTTCGTCGTCGTCGTCGTCGTGGTCTGTCCAGCCCTGCTCTCGCCTTCGTCCGGCGTCCGCGGCCCCGCGGGTGGGACGCCGTAGTCGTTATTGCCGCCGTCGTCGTCGTCGTCGTCGTCGCCGTCGTCGTGTTCGTCGTCGTCGTCGTCGTCGTCGTCGTCGTCGTCGTCGTCGTCGTCGTCGTCGTCGTAGTCTTCCTCGTCGTCGTCGTCGTTGTCGTGCGTCCGTCGTCGTCGTCCGTCGTCCGTTGTCCGTCGTCCTTTGTACGTCGTCGTCGTCGTCGTCGTCGTCTTCGTCGTCGTCGTCGTTCGTCGTCCGTTGTCGTCCGTCCGTCGTCCTTCGTCCGTCGTCCGTATTCTGGCGTCCGTCGTCCGTTGTCGCCGTCGTCCGTTGTCCGTCGTCCGTCGTGATTGCGTCGTCCGTCGTCCGTCGTCCGTCGTCCGTCGTCCTTTGTCGTCGTCGTCGTCGTCGTCGTCGTTGTCGATATTGCCATCGTCATCGTCGTCGTCGTCGTCGTCCGTCGTTCGTCGTTCGTTGTCCGTAGTCCGTCGTCCGTCGTCCGTCGTCCTTCGTCCGCCGTCCGCCGTCCGTCGTCCTTCGTCCTTCGTCCGTCGTACGTCGTCGTCGTCGTCCGTCGTCCGTCGTCGTCGTCGTCGTCCGTCGTCGTCGTCCGTCCTCGTCGTCGTCGTCGTCGTCGTCGTCGTCGTCGTCGTCGTCGTCGTCGTCGTTCGTCGTCGTCGTCGTCGTTCGTCGTCGTCGTCCGTCGTCCGTCGTCCGTCGTCCGTCGTCCTCGTTCGTCGTCCTCCGTCCGCCGTCCGCCTCTTTCGTCCTCGTTCGTCGTTATCGTCGTCGTCGTCGTCGTCGTCGTCGTCGTCGTCGTCGCCTTCGTAGTCGTTATTGCCGCCGTCGTCGTCGTCGTCGTCGTCCTCGTCGTCGCCTTCGTCCGGCGTCCGCGGCCCCGCGGGTGGGAACGCCGGGGCAGGGGCTCCGAGGGCTCCCAGGGCGGCGCGGCGGCGGCGCGGAGGGGCTCGAAGACCGTCTGAGCGGCGCCGCGGGTGCGGAGCTCCGCCGTGGCCGCCGCAAGAGAGCGGACGCGCGGCTCGCGCGGAGGAGCCTCGCGCGCCGCGCCCTTCTCCTCCTCCTCTGTCCTCCTCCTCCTCCTCGTCCTCCTCCTCCTCGTCCTCCTCCTCCTCCTCCCCTCCTCCTCCTCGTCCTCTTCCTCCTCGTCCTCCTCCTCCTCATCCTCTCCTACTCCTCTCCTCCTCCTCCTCCTCCTCCTCCTCCTCCTCCTCCTCGTCCTCCTCCTCCTCGTCCTCCTCCTCCTCAGCCTCCTCTCCTCCTCCTCCTCATTATGAATGCTACTCTCCTCTCTCCCCTGGTGGCGTCCAGGAAATGTCCGGCCTCCCTCCGCGTATTGGTTTCTACACACCGGATTCCTGGGAGTTGTTTGTTGAACTCTCATTCTTGAAGAATAATTATTGTTGATCCCCCCCCACCGGTGCACATTGTTTTTTTTCTATTGAAGTGCCACCCCCGGGGCTCGCACCTTGTTTTTTCTCAAGGAAAGTCTTCCTGCTCAAACTGTGCCCCTGCCCCCCGGGCTACAACAACAACGGCTCCCGCCTGAGACTTCCTCGATTTTTACTCAGGACCCCCGCTCCCGCCTGAGACTTCCGCGCAATTTACTCAGGAAAGGCGCTCCCGTCTGAGACTTCCTCGCAATGTAATCAAGACCCCTGCTCCCGCCTGAGACTTCCGTGCAATTTACGTGGGAACGGCGCTCCCGCCTGAGACTTCTTCGAATTTTACTCAGGACCCCCGCTCCTGCCTGACATTTCCGCGCAATTGACTCAGGAACGGCGCTCCCGCCTGAGACTTCCTCGCAATTTAGTGAGGACCCCCGCTCCCGCCTGAGACTTCCGTGCAATTTGCTCAGGAACGGCGCTCCCGCTTGAGACTTCCTCGCAACTTAGTCAGGGCCCCCGCTTCCGCCTGAGATTTCCTCACAATGTACTCAGGACTGCGCTCTCGCGTGCGACGTCCTCACAAATTATTCTGGAATTGCGTTTCGGCGCTCAGGAACCACGCACGCGCCAAGGACGCCTTCACAACGTGGTATCTTCCCTCTTCCTTCGTCCTTCCCCCTCCCCTTCCTCCCACTCTCCCTCGTTCTTCCCCTCCTCCTCTTGCAGGGCCCGCGCCAATTCCAATGGCGGGCAGAGAGATGTACGCCCCCGAAGGATTGTCCGCCCGTTCCGGTTTGCCCGTACGTCTAAGCCCGCCGGCCCCAGCAAAGAGAAATAATCCCCCCGAAAGGGGTGTGATCGAAGACGAAGAGGGCGGGCATCGAGGGTGTAGGGTATACGTGTTGAATGACTCGCGGGCAAGTAAGAGCGTACAGCCTTAAAATGGTTGTTGTTGTTGGTGTTGTTTTTGTTATATGTATATATAAATATATGTGTATGTATGCTGCTCTCGCTGAAGCGCTGGCTTCATCTTCGGGCTACCGCTCGTTCCGAATCGTGCTCCCGCTGCAGCGCTGGCCTCATTTCCGCGCTTTCGCTCGTTCCGAATCGTGCTCCCGCTGCAGCGCTGGCGTCATTATTTCTAGCGCCATGCCACGGCATGGTTTTCGGTCCTTCCAAATGGGCTCCAAAATATAGAAAATGCCCCCCGAAAAAACCATTGGAAGTGATTACACATTCGGTGTCGTTTCGTTGATTTTTGGGCCGCGGAAGCCCCCCTTACTTCGGGGCGTCGCCACGCCATGTTATGTCAGGCCACGCGTCCTCATTTCTGCGCTTCCGCGCTTGGGTTTTTTGTTCATAATGCTGCTCTTGCTGAAGCGCTGGCTTCATTTCCGGGCTACCGCTCGTTCCGCATCGTGTTCCCGCTGCAGCGCTGGCTTCATTTCCGCGCTTTCGCTCGTTCCAAATGTGCTCCCGCTGCAGCGCTGGCGTAATTATTTCCAGTGCCATGCCACGGCATGGTTTCGGGCCCCCAAATCTAAACAATGGCCTCCCGAAGAAACCATCTGAAGTGATTACACCTTCGGTGCCGATTCGTTGATTGTTTGGGCCGCAGAAGTACCCCCCCTTACTTCGGGGCGTCGCCACGCCATGCTATGTCAGGCTGCGAATCCTCATCTCCGCGCTTCCGCGTTTGCTTTTTTGCTGCTCTCGCTGAAGCGCTCGCCTCATCTTCGGGCTACCGCTCGTTCTGAATCGTGCTCCCGCTGCGGCGCTGGCCTCGTTTCCGCGCTTCCGCTCGTTCCGAATCGTGCGGGAGCGGCGTCATTATTTCCAGCGCCATGCCACGGAATGGTTTTCGGTCTTTCCAAATCGGCCCCCAAATCTAAACAATGGCCTCCCGAAGAAACCATCGGAAGTGATTACACATTCGGTGGCGATTCGTTGATTTTTTGGGCCGCAGAAGTCCCCCCTTATTTCGGGGCGTCGTCACGCCATGCTATGTCACGCTACGCGTTACTCTTCAACACCACGCCATGCCATGTGATGCTGTGCCATGCTACGACATCCGCTTGTGCGAATAGAGAGGAGACCTTCGCCATTGTAAGGGATGGAAGGGCGGGGTGGGACGGCAGATTAGACGCGAGCGCGCCGCACCTCGCCTGTCCTCCGCGCCTCTGCGCGCCCCTCCGCCAGTTCTGGGCGCTGCTGCGGCCTCGGCAGGCTCTCCAGCGGCCGTGCCTCGCCGAGGGCGCTCCGGGGGTGCCTGCCGGCCGCTGTGGCTCGCCCATGGGGCCTTCCGCGAGCCGTGCCCCCCCGGCATCGTCCCCGGTGGCCAGTGGAGGTCCGAGCCCCGCCCCGAAAGCAGAGCAATGCGCCGATTGTGCTCCTGCGCTGGCCCTGGCCGGGGCCGACTCTCGGGCCGGGCGACAGGGGGGGACAGCAAAGGGGGGGGTTGAGAACCAGCTCGCGTAGCTGATTTTCCTGGCGCCTCCCGGCGCCGGAGGCGGCTATGTATCGAGGAACGGGCCCCTCTGTGGGGCCGAAACCAGCTACATGCAGCAGATTTCGTACACCCCCCCTTCCCAATCCCCCATTTCGTCCGGCCCGAAACTCTCGGGCCCGGGGACTGGTGCAGAGGCCCGTCCTGGCCGGAGCAGGGCCCGTGCACTGACCCCCGGGCCCAGGTGCTGCCAGCTGGTGCTGGCGCCCTCCTGCCTGTGGGTCCGTCTCGGGGGGTCCCGCGAGGGGGGCTCCCTGGGAGCCCAGGCATCTTCGGGCGTCGCGGCGGACGATCACGGCGGGCAGTTTCGTTGGCAGTATCGTTCTGGCCGAGGCCGCGGACCTCTCTGGACGCCTGTGATCGCGCTCGACGTGCTCTCTCGCCATGGTCCTCATGGATCGGGGGCTGCCGTTGGCTCACAGCAGTTCGCCCTGCCTATCATACTTTTACACTTGCTTTTCTCCAGGCCTCCCAGATGGGGTCCGATCAGATGGGGTCGGAGGATCGCGCCGCATCGCCGATGCATCGGCGATACGTCGGGAATGCATCGGCGACGCGGGGCCAGGATTCCTCCACGCCGACGGCGCCGATGCATCGACGGTGCGGCGCGGTCCTCCGACCCCGTTTGCTCGGACCCCACCTGGGAGGCCTCCGTCGTCCTGCCTCGTGCACGTGATGGTGTCGCCGTCGGTCGCGCTCCTCGCCCTTCTCCCGCTGGTGCGCGGGGCGCTGCCGGTGGATCCCTCGGGAGTTGGCCCGTCCCTCCTGCAGCGCGGCGACGGCAACGAGGACGACCTCGGCCTGGGCTACGAGGACACCTGGCCCGTGCCCCCTTTTCGGATTTCCGGCGCTCCAAGACGGCTCAAGGTTCCCCAGACCGCCCCAAGACAGCCCAAACCGCCTCCAAGAGGGCCCGAAGACGGCCCAAGAGGGCTCCAAGATGGCCCAAGAAGCGCTCAAGACGGCCCAAGAGGGCCCGAAGACGGCCCCAAGAGGAGCCTCAGCAGGGGACCGCGAACCGAACAGTCTATATTTGTGCCCCGAGAAGCCCCCCAAACATCGAAGAGAAACAGCTGCATAGACATACAGTCGGGCCGAGGTCTAAGACGGAGGTCGATTCGGGGAGGGTGCACTGCTGTTCTTCGTGTTTTTTGGACTTGGACGTTCTTGTGCACCCTGGGGAGGGTACCCTTGGATGTTCTGCTCGTTTTGGCCGACGGAGGGTCTCATGTTCTTGAGGGATCATCTTATGTCCTAGGTCCGATTGTGAACAGACCGTTCCGACGGTCCGCGAGGATCTCTTGTATCGGCGGCGGGGCCCCCCCCGCGCGCCAGGGAGAGGGGCCCGCGCGGACTCCCCAGAGTATCTACGACTACGACTACGACTGCGCCTATTATTATTATTACTACTACGATTATTACGATTATTATTATTGCTGTTATTATTATTTTTATTTTATTCTAATTATTATGATTATTCTTAGTTTGATTACTACCACTACTACGACTACGACGGCGACTACTACTACTACTACTACTACTACTACTACTACTACTACTACTACTACTACTACTACTAACTACTACTACTACTACTACTACTACTACTACTACTACTACTACTACTACTACTACTACTACTACTACTACTACTACTACTACTACTACTACTACTACTTAACCACTACTACTACTAGTACTGCTACTACTATCGCTTTCACTACTGATACTTATATGCTACTATGCTGCTACTTCTCTACTATCATAGTGCTATCTTTATTATTTTTTCACTACTACTATCCTTACTTCTACTACACACTACTACTACTACTGCTACTACTACTACTTCTATTACTACTACTACTACTACTACTACTACTACTACTACTACTACTACTACTACTACGACTACGACTACGACTACGACTACGACTACTACTACTACTACTACTACTACTACTTGTATCAGTACTGCTAGTACTAGTACTACTAATACTACTACTACTATTGCTGCCACTACTACTGCTACTACATCTACGACTACTACTACTACTACTACTGCTACTGCTATTACTACTACTACTACTACTACTGCTACTACTATTATGTTCACTACTAACCTTACTATTTCATTCCCTCTGTTACTAGAACCTATACTTTTCGCACTCCTGCTACCACTACTACTACTACTACTACCACTACCACTTGTACTAGTACTATTATTTGTATTGCTGCTGCTACTGCCCTTCCGATTTCCACGACTATGACTCCAACTCGTATTGTTATTCATGTTGCTATTACTGTTGCTACTGCTACTACTACTTCTACTACTGGTACATCTCGTGCTGCTCACTACCACTTTATTGCTACGACTACAACTGTTAGTCATATTACTATTGCTATTGCTACTGATACTATTACTATTATTTCTGTAACCATTACTATTACTACGGCTACTTCTCTGAGTAAAACCACTACTACGTCGACGACTATTATTTCCATTTCTATTACTACCACTACCTCTACTGGTACTACTGCTACTACTTCTGTAGCTGCTACCATTTCTATTTGTATTACGTTTACTACCACTACTATTGTTCGACTATGCTTGCTACTCGTGCCAGTTCTCTTACTTTCAATTCTATTGCTAGTACTATTTCTATGTTTACAGCTGTTCTTGTTACGACCACTTCCCGCACCACTACTACTACTAACACTACTACCACTACTACTACTACTACTACTACTACTATTACTACTACTACTACTACTACTACTGCTACTACTACTGCTACTACTACCACCACTACCGCTACTACTACTGCTATTGCTACTGCTGCTGATACTACTACTACTACTGCTACTGCTACTACTACTAGTACTTCTACAGAGAGTACTTACGCTACCACCTGTATTACTGGTACACCTGCTACTAACTATTACGAGTTCTCCCACTACTACCAGCACTACGAATACAATTACAAGTTCGACAGCGCTTACTACGACTTCTACTTCCACTACCATTGCTAGTATCACTACTGCTATCACTACATGTTTTATCACTACTCCTACTACTACTTCTACGAGGACGAGTAGTAGTAGTAGTAGTAGTAGTAGTAGTAGTCGTAGTAGTAGTAGTAGTAGTAGTAGTAGTAGTAGTAGTAGTAGTAGTACTACTACTACTACGACTACTACGGCCATTACGTCTTCTATTGCGACTCCTTTGGTTACTACTATCGCTACTTCTATTTCCATGTCTACTACTGTTGCTATCTGTTCTTTTACTACTACTTGTACAACTACTACTACCACTACTACTATTACTACTACTCCTACTACTCCTACAACTCCTGCTGCTAATTCTATTACTATTTCTTCTACGGTTACGACTGCTACTACTCCTACTTCTTCGTTTTTTTCCCCAACCATCCTGTGGTGTTGGGTCTTCGCTTTGAAGAGACGGTGGCCCGCGTCTCCTCTCCTCTTCTCCTCCTCCTCCTCCTCTCCTCCTCCTCCTCCTCCTCCTCCCACCATCATCATCGTCATCACCCATTTCGGCACACCCCTCACACGTTTCGTGGCCCCATAGGGAGCTCCACCGAAGGTCCCAGTGGGTGTGCCCGCATGCGTCCCGCACACCCATTTCGGTACACCCTTCACACGTTTCGTGGCCCCATAGGGAGCTCCACCGAAGGTCCCATGTGGGTGTGCCGCATGCGTCCCGCACACCCATTTCGGCACCCCCTCACACGTTTCGTGGCCCCACTAGGGAGCTCCACCGAAGGTCCCAGTGGGGTGTGCCCGCATGCGTCCCGCACACAATTTCGGCCCACCCTCACACGTTTCTGGCCCATAGGGAGCTCCACCGAAGGTCCCAGTGGGTGTGCCCGCAATGCGTTTCCCGTTACACCATTTCGGCACACACCCTTTTTTTTTTTTGTTTTTTTTTTATTTTTGTTTCACACGTTTCGTGGCCCCATAGGGAAGCTCCACGAAGGTCCCTGTGGGTGTGCCCCTGCACGCGTCCCGCACACCCATTTCGGCACACCCCTCACACGTTTCGTGGCCCCATAGGGAGCTCCACCGAAAGTCCCAGTGGGTGTGCCCGCATGCGTCCCGCACACCCATTTCGGTACACCCTTCACACGCTTCGTGGCCCCACAGGGAGCTCCACCGAAGGTCCCAGTGGGTATGCCCGCATGCGTCCCGCACACCCATTTCGGCCCACCCCTCACACGTTTCGTGGCCCCATAGGGGGCTCCACCGAAGGTCCCAGTGGGTGTGCCCGCATGCGTCCCGCACACCCATTTCGGCCCACTCCTCACACGTTTCGTGGCCCCATAGGGAGCTCCACCGAAGGTCTCAGTGGGTGTGTGCGCATGCGTTCCGCATACTCATTTCGGCCCACCCCTCACAGGTTTCGTGGCCCCAAAGGGAACTCCACCGAAGGTCCTTGTGGGTGTGCCCGCATGCGTCCCGCATACCAATTTCGGCACACCCCTCACACGTTTCGTGGCCCCACAGGAGCTCCGTCGAAGGTCCCACTGGCACAGTCCGCATGCGCCCCCGCCGCTCATTTCGGCACACCCCTCTCACACGCTTCGTGGCCCCATAGGAGCTCTGCCGAAGGTTTCGGTGGCACAGTCCGCATGCGTCTCCGCCATTCATGTCGGCCCACCCCTCACACGTTTCGTGGCCCCGTAGGAGCTCCGCCGAAGGTCCCCGTGGCACAGTCCGCATGCGTCCCCGCCATTCATGTCAGCACACCCCTCACACGTTTCGTGGCCCCATAGGAACTCCGCCGAAGGTCCCCGTGGCACAGTCCGCATGCGTCTCCGCCACTCATGTCGGCCCACCCCTCACACGTTTCGTGGCCCCACAGGAGCTCCGTCGAAGGTCCCGGTGGCACAGTCCGCACGCGCCCCCGCCATTCATTTCAGCACACCCGTCACACGTTTCGTGGCCCCATAGGAACTCCGCCGACGGTCCCCGTGGCGCAGTCCGCATGCGTCCCCGCCATTCATGTCGGCCCACCCCTCACACGTTTCGTGGCCCCACAGGAGCTCCGCCGAAGGTCCCAGTGGCACAGTCCGCATGCGTCCCCGCCACTGATTTTGGCACACCCCTCACACGTTTCGTGGCCCCATAGGGAACTCCACCGAAGGTCCCTGTGGCGCAATCTTACTGCGGTCTCCTAGCCCAGTACAGCGGTTCCGTGGGGCCCCATAATGGTGGGGGGCCCCACCGCAGGTCCAGCCATGCAAGCTAGCTATTGTGCTCGCGTGAGCGGGCGACCCGCGCGCGTCGCAGGGACCCCTCCGGGGCGACCTGCGCGCGTCGCGGGGGCTCCGTGCTGCGTTCTGCCCAGCGCCTCGCTCGCCCGTCGTCGCACTGCCTAGCGGCAAAAGCCTTGCCCGCTATCAGCCAGCCAGCTAGCTCTCTTTGCTCCGCGCAGTGGACGACCCGCGCGCGTCGCTGGGACCCCTCCGGGGCGACCTGCGCGCGTCGCGGGGACTCCGCGCTGCGCTGCGCACGCAGCCTTGGACTTTTGAGTGCGCGGGCAAAGAGGGAGTAAAGGAAGGGGAGGACGCGGGCGCGATCCTCGCAGGGGGGCGCGCCGACATTGGCGTCGCGGCGCGCGGGCGATGCCGTCGGGGAGTCCTGGGGGAGCTCCTTGCGGCGGCCACGCCCAGCGTCACGAGTACTCAGAGGCAGTCATTGTCAAACTATTGTCATTCATATACAAGTGTACCACGCTTTGTCATATTCGCATTCATGCACGTAGACTCGCTCGCACGCAGATTCATTCACAG